AAATTGTTGATTGAAAAATTCAATTTTCACTTATATTAAAAAAAAAAAAAAAAAAAAAAAAAAAAAAAAAAAAACGTATGAACGTTGCAGCCGGGCATTACCGATTGCAGAATGCTTATTCACGGCCCAAACACTAATAGATCCATTTTCCGATTTGCCACGCTTCCAATTGGTATATATATAGAGTATGTCAACAGCAATCGAGGTGTTACATTGTGAGTTTATAGCTCTGTCACGCCCCCAATGGGTACATAGATTCTTAAAAGCTTACTTAAACTCTCTGACAAATATGATTTCCGCTTGATCACGTTCCTATTTGAAGGATCGGGAATATGTTGAAACTTTATAGTTGGAGGGTATACACGAGTATGTTCCGCATTTCAAGTTTGATAGACGGACAGAAAGACGGACAATACACAAAAGCAATATACCCATGTCACTTTCGTGAATGAGTATAGGTTAAATAAAAATACATGAATTTCTGTATTTTTGTAGTTGTTTTTTTTTTAGTTTATTATTTTTTTGTTTTTTTTTTTTTTTTTTGAGTAAATGCAAATTTGATAAATGTAGTTTACATCATTATATATAGAAAAAAAACCCTTTAAAAAACAAGAGAAATTCTACCCAAAAATTGTGAAGCTTTTAACTGCACAAAAGAAAAGAAACAAAAAATTGAAAGAAACATGATTTTAGAAACCAATTTAAAATATGTTTTCTTTCTTGTTTGTCATAAAACCAACTCACCACACAAAATCCAAGAAATTTATTTTTCAAAAACCAATTATCAACAAAAACAACAAAAACACCTTTTCCCAGTAACGTAAGTCAGTCCGTCCATGTTCCAACACATTTTTAATTTTAATTGTTGTTCAGAAATCGAATTTATTTACTTTGCAGAATTTTTCAAATAGCTTTTAGTTAGTTTTTATATATTTGGCGTGCTTTGTATAAGTAAATATATGTATATAAACGGAAATGATATCCAAATATTTAGCTTGCTTTTGATTTCAATGTTAAATATGCTGTAAATACACATGACAGATTTTAATTTAATACTATTCAACATTTTTACTCACATAAATGTATATCTATATAAATATTTCTATATACATACATATATACGTTATATACTTGGTGTCATCTTTGGCACCTGATTTGGTATCTGGACAACAACAAGCAAGTCATGGCGCAGGACCTTTTCCCCTCCTAGCTTTTCTTCCTGGTGCGTGGGCATATTGCACGCTATTCGTTAATTAGCCAGGTTATGGGCATATACAAGTTTGCTAATCAAAAAACAAAAAACAAAAACAGCAATAATTTATTACATTGGCCTCATTATTATATTAAAAGAACATTTTCCACCTTTTGTAGACGATTACTTTTCAGTTACGGTGCGCATACCTAAACGAATAACAGTCTGTGAAAACCTCCTATGCCCCCTTAGTTATATGCCACGCGATTAGTTGCAAGGTAAAAATATATAAAACGAGACATAGAAAAGAAACACATGTACTTGCTTGGAGGGTCGATCTAAATTAAACAAACTTCAATGCTTGCCTAGACACATTTATAATCAATAATATTCAATATAATGTATGCCATAAGTATGCCAACTATACAACCTATATTTAATATGAACTCATGTGACTATAAGCCACACACATACTAATCGACAGTTTGATGCATCTTTCTCAGAGGAACAATGGGAGAAGGACTTGGAGGCTGAGCTCAAGGACTACGAGGTTGTCGACGAAGGAGGCACTGGCGCTGGCGGCGGTGGCGGCGGCGGCGGCAAACAGAAGCGAACAGATGATGGGGACGAGGATGAGGATGACGCACCGACAATATCCAATTTGCGCACACGTTCAACTAACAACGATTGGGAGGAGTATGCCGACCTAATTGAGGATACCGATGATTTAAAGTAATTAAGAGCTTATATCGTAGTTTCTTCTAAGTTGGCTCTAAGTTTATAACTTAACGTTTCTTTCCATTCCTTTCTATTCCTTGTTTCTTTTAATAACAAACCTTACTTGTTTTCGAACCACTACTCTCTGATTATTGTTACGTAAACCCATGAAAAACCAAACACCCCGACCCCAAACCGATCTGCAACCAATTTATGCCGCATCAACAGAACATTGAAGTGCCTAAAACGCACCATGTTGGGCTATCTATGAGACGAGGCAATCTTTACGCTCATCTAATGTTGGCGTAAAAAGTTGGTTAACATACAACGATTAAATGTAAATAGAATTTGCCTCGGATCCTATTGGAAAAGTTGGTTGAGATCTGGCCATTGGCCGTGCGCAAAAATGCAAACATTTTACTCAGTTGCCTTTTAAAGATGATATAAGACACTAAACTCAAACAATTCAATTATGTTACAATTTATAAATCCACTTTGGCTAAATTCAAACTAAAATCCAAATACCACGAATTCTCCTTATCGTTTTGTCACATTGGTTGACGAGTCGGAAACTTTCGCCAATTGTTCAGCACACGAAAATGGCAAACAGTTAACTATAACATACATACATACACAGAAATTTCCACATGAAACTGGTTAAACTAGAATATGAAACAAAAACAAACAAATATGAAAATGAAAATAAACAAATCGAAACAACAAAACGGCATTAGTATAAATCGTATTAAAATATAGTAATGGATGCATAAAGAAGCTTCAATGCGAAACATTTTGTTATTTATATTTATAAATAATTAATTATATGAATATAAATATATATGTGTATATATGTGCATATAAATATATGTATATATATATATACGCATATATACATATACAGAAAAAGATAAAATTAATGCATTTGAATTTAATGTGTAAAAAAATATTATAAATATTATAGATATATATAACATATATATGTATATATATGTATGTACTCTGTAAAAAAAATATATATATACATACATATATGAAATCCAATTAAATATATTAAAATTCAAGAAAACTTGTTTAATACAAAATTGAATTTTCTTTGGTCATTTACTTGAATTTACTTAAACTAAATAATAATTTTGAATTTATTAGCTTTGTTACTGCATTGATTTTGATTTAAATACTTTTTTATATCTACAAATCTAGCATTTTATGTTTTCCCTTAGGCTGATTTTATATAAATATAAATATATTAACCAAAACACACACGCATATATTCCTTCTAAAATAAATGCCAAAAAAAAAAAAAAAAATTATTTAAAAACAACAGTAATTGAGGTAAAATAACACTTTTAACAAAATATAATTAAAAACGCAATTAACAATGGGAAAACAAAACAAATAACAAAATCGCAATTATAAACAATAAGCAGTTCAAAAAACCTTATAAATATATATATATATATTTACATATATATTTCACTAGAAAAATTTTTATGCATAAAATGAGAAGAAGATGAAGAAATAACAAAGCAAACAATCTATATTATCAATGTTTTTGCTCTAAATGTCTAACTAATTGTTACAAAAAAATATATAAATTATTTTCAGCAAGCAAGGACGTGTTAAACAATTAAAATGAAAAACATATGACGTATGCTATATAAATGTATAATTATTTGTTAACAATGGCAAAATATATTGATAATTGAAATTACAAGTAAAAGTTATTGAAATTGAGATTTAAATCGATATCGGGATGGAGATTGTATATTGTAAATTTTACTTTTAAAACTAATCGAAAGTATTCACAATAACAATAACAACAAGAATAAAAAGCAAGGGTTAAATTATTGATATTTTAAATTTCGATTACACTTCAATTGTTTGTTTCCCCTTTCTACTGGAACTAAAAACAAAAAACCAAAAAAAATACGACAAATAATGAAATATTGAAATGTTCACAAAACCCGTTTTACATCCAACATCCAATGCATATTCTAATATATGTCGAACAATTTACAGCAAAGCAACAGTTAATTCAAGTTTTTATGAAAAGTTTGTTAAAGCATTTGCATACCGAAAGTCGAAAAATAAAAAATTAATGAAAGACACACGCAGAAAATTCCATAAATATAAAACATTGCAAAATAATAATATATAATAAATAAAGCAAAAATAAACCATATATTATGTTTATGTACTAAATAAAGTATACATATGTATCACCATAAAAAACAAAAAATATATATATATATATAATTTAGTTGACTAATAATAAAACCCAACATTATTACTTATAACAGTTAGACACACAAGATGGCGTTGACTAATGTTGAACATGGAAAGTGAAATACTGCGATTTATCAACATATTGAAGTAGAACAAGAAAACACAAACATTGAATGTCAAGTAATACTTAGAGCGCATACTAAAGAAGTACCAGTCAACGAGGAAACATAAACCCAAATGCAATAGATTGATAACTTGACAACATATAAACTAAATACACTGAGAGAAGGAACATCATCTCTATAAGATTTAGACAAAACGAGAAATTATACTAGTCGACATATATGTATATATATATGTATATGTATGAATATATAAAACTATACATATTTCTATATATATTTATACATATATGTATATATACCTAAATATATGAAAACAATTTAATGAGAATAACATCAAGTAATAAAATGAAAGTGTATTACTATTAAAACTAACAAAAAAAAACAAGTCGTCATTTTTAGTCAAAGGTTTTATCTAAAAATAAAAACAACGGTTGAAAGCTCCTCAGCTAAGCCTCTGGCTAACTTTGGAGCTATGATTAGAGTATGCTTCTTTTCAAAATGGGTACAATGCTCACAACGTATTTAATATATTAAATTTATCTTTAACATATAATCCTGTATGGCTTTGAATCATCAACTAATATTTTATTGTCATATCCGCTGTTGCTTGAAATTACAATACATTTTTCAGATTAAGAGCTTCAAGTTACCTGGAAAGGCCTAAATATCCTATGATCACTAAGTTTTGCATGTATATCATTATTTTACAGATACATCAATCGAAATCGGAAATGCACTGAAGACATTCACCTATTAAATCGTGCTAGAATCATGCAGTCGGTTATTTGTCACATTTCCAGCGTCTAGAAATGGTTCTATTTAATTGTGACTGAGTAAAAATTTAAGTTGAGAATCAAGAACTTAATTTAAAGACATTCACTCTTCACTCCATTATGACTAACATTATTCTATTTTATTTATATACATATATATATATATATGTATATACTTATGGTTTTAAACAGGCCCTATCCGATTTAGCCTTATCCATCGATATGTCTGTCTGCTTATATCGTATTGATAATAATAATTTTATTTATTTAAATAAAAATATTCGAAAATATTTTACACATTTTATTCACAAAAATTTAATAATTTAATCAATTTTATCGAACAATCCTGTCCGCAGACTATACAATTTTGGAAACAATGCACGAGTTAATATACAATAATAAAAAACACCTGATTGTTTAAAATAATATAAATAGTTGAACAACAATTTCAAGCTTAAAATGCCAAAATCTCATTTTTGAATGTTTGCTGAGCAAACATCAACGAAATCTGAGGGACTGAGTGCTGATTACAATTTTACTGCTAGTAACACAATTTGAGAGGGAAAACAATAACCCGAAAGCCCATAGACCCGTGACTAAATGCAGATGCAACCTACAAATTGGGATATAGTAAGGTAAGTTGATTCAAACGGCATTACCGATAATAAGATGACCCATAGCGCGGGCTGCGGTGCCTCTGTTCGGAGTTCTCATAGGTGATGCTCTTGAACTGATTGTTTGCCTCAAGTGCTTGTTGTCTGGGTGCAGAGCCGCCCCGATTTACAAACAAATCCTTCCATATCATCGCTATGAGGACGAAGATTGCACCGACTATTCTGTTGACAAACTCGATTAGTTTAAATATGATTGGGGTAGCGGTGTGTGTGAAGCGACTGAGCTCGAACAGAAAGCGCACCGCAAAGATGCCCATAAACCGAAGAGCGACAGCTGCGCCGCTCAATATGGAAAATGCGATCAGACACATAAATCGTATTGTTCCTATTATATTGCGCTTGTTTACATCGTTCGCCATAAATTCGTACGTTGTCGTCACAATCGACTGACGCCACTGTTGCAGAACCTCCAGAAAATCAGCCAATCCGATTTGCGGTTGTGGTTGTACTTCGTCATCAACATCCACTCTGGGGCTGTCCCCAGAAGTTAGGGCTCTGCTAGGGCTACTCTTCTTTAGTGAGGGTCGTGGTGTTGGCAGAGGCTCGTCCTCAACAGGGCGAATCATTTTCAACTTGATCTGAACTTCTTGACTTCGAAACCGTAGTGTCTTAATGCTGAACCAGTATTCACCAAAAGCCAAATCACTCAGCTCCGTCCAAATGCATGTGTCCAGCTGTGCAGGATGTGGAATGTGCTTGTAGCTACCCACGCTCCCTCTGGTTATGCCCACCCACATATTGGGTACGAAACGCTGGTAAAACAATTGTAGTTGCTCTGCGCTTGACAACAGCTGCTTTTCCAGATCACGTTCGCTGCGCTGTAGGACTATAACGTCGCGATAGCCACCAAGCTGCTCCACAAAGCAACGCTCAAGGTAAACGCCTCGAAAGAGTCGAGATTTGTATAACTGTTTGGTAAGTGATTGCATGGCTAACTCCTCAGGCGGCATAAATCGAGCGCCAGCTGATGCTGCCACCACACCCGTCCCCGTCGCATCAGTTTCGGTCATTATTTAAGTGTTTCTGCGAATATACAATGTATGTTTATTGAACAACCATCCGACGGGTCAAATAACCTTTACCTGATCTTTTCGCAATCAAATATCGAGGTTCAGCTTTCGCTTCTTAGTCAGCAAATGATTGTATTGTTTTGAGTAATCTTAGCCACTCGGTGATCGAATTTGTGCCTGATAGTCCCTCGATCGGCATGCGCTATTATTTTTGAAAGTAATACAGCGGTATACAGCGATAAGACATCATTCCCCGCTAATGAATCAATAACAAGTTGTTTAATGTGTTACAACAAACTAATGTTTTGATGTTATGGACTTTGTAATCGAATGCTATTAATCACTTCCAACACAATTCCGGCATATTCAATGCGTTAAGGTATAGTAACTACGGTCACACTTATCGAATCGACAACAAAACAAAATAGGACCAAATCGTTTTGACAGCTACCCTAATATACATTTTTTCCTAAACTTACCACAAGTCTCTATCAAAATTGGCTCCAGACACGATCTTAGAGAATATTATATAAGGATGACTTTAGTGGGTTTGGCAGCCCGCAAGCTGGCTCAAAAGCAAAGGTAACTATGAGCTATAAGAGGTTAAATATCCCAGCTAATATTTCACTTTGAAGATCTGCAAAGTTGGCCGCTGCATTCCCAAATGGCATACGCTGTCAGAAATGTCTGAATTTTGGGCACTGGAGCTACGAGTGTAAGGAAAAGCGAAAGTACGTTCACCGGAGCTCGCGTACCAAGCAGCTAAGCAAACATTTGGCAGAAAAGGCTGCAACCAACGTGGAATCAACATCGACCAACGAGGCCCGTTCTTCAGATGCCGGCGCTGAAGTGCGCCTGCATCGGGAGAAACGAACAAAGCGTAAAAGAAAACGCAGCAATAGCTCTTCATCGTCGAGTTCGTCTAATAGCTCAACTAGCAGTTCTAACTCGTCAAATTCGGATAGTAGCAGCAGCAGCGATTCCGATAGTTCCAGCTCCGACGAAGACGATGATGGTAGCTCCTCAGAGGGCGACTCAGGTTCCTCAAGTGACAGCGACAATGACGACTCCAGCTCTAGCAGCAGTGATGATCAAGAAAACTCATCACCTAAGAAGAAGAAACGCCGGGATAGCTCAGCTGAATCGTCCGATGACGATGCATAAGATGTATAAACAGTTCTCAATATCAATATAACTACTACAATAACTGTAACTGTAATACGTATAATGCATACATAGCTTTAGTAGTTTAGTTTACTTTTGAGTGCTTTTACCGGGAATTCACAAATATGGAAACATTTTATAACAACTATATTTTAGAATAGTTTTAATTTAGTACGAAATGAGTTTGGAAATTTTTTTCAATTAGCTTAATTTGTACCAATAAATGATTGTGAACAGCTATAATTTCGATCAGTCTGATTCGATTTCCACACCAAACTGTTGCAAATCGTTTTCGAATAACTGCAAGTCGATTTCCTGACAGTTTATTTGCTCGTTCGGTGTATTCATACTCTGGTCACAGATTTCCCTACTCATGCCCACATTTGATGGCTCCATGGACACCGCTTGATGCACTGAATTCGATTTTAAATGCAGCTCCTCAACCTTAACAAAGAATAGATTTTAAGTTACTATTGTAATCGCTAATTTTCACTGCTCACCTTAAGCGAATTCAGTGTTTCCTGAATAATGGGCAGCGCCTTGACCAGCTTTCTTTCTATGGCATACAAATGAGTCTGCTCTTTTAGCAAGACACGGTTTGATTGTAGCATTTTAACCACTTGCAAACAAGAACCACTAACAAGAACTTTACAAATACAGAGCTGTTATGCAGCATGCATTGTTTACTGTTAAATTAACATTACGCTTAGCTGTTAATGGAAACACATATTGAGTGTATACATATGTATATACATATACATATATATTTTTTGCTTTTGATTTTTTTTTGCTAAATAATATAATTTAGTGCGCTTTATGCGCATATTTAACATTTAACAGCTGCGACTTAGTTACTCTGGTTTTTAATATACATATTTTATAAAACAAGCCGAAGGGTATAACATTTGACTTGTTTTGGTCACACACTTGGCCTCAAGCTTAAATTAAAAGGACATCATATCATAATCGAGTGTTCAAAGCCTTGCTTTTATTCCTATAAATTCTTTAGTTTTTTATTGTAAGAGGTAAACCAATAAAAACGTATTTTATTTGATTAGGTTGGGGCACTGACCAGTGGTTGGGATCATAGAACACCATAAAAATAGTGTGACCAACCTGTGTGCGCCGCGTCGCATTTTAATGTTCGCGCCGAAAGAAAATTAACTTTTATTTTGTTTAGCTATTTAAAATATAGAAAGGTAATTAAATAGAGGTTAAGAACTGCTCGCAAATTTATTTATTTTTTTGTTGCAGCATTCAAATGATGAAAGACGAAGACAAGGGGATGATCCTTAATCGTTTCATTGAGAACTGTGAAATGCTAAAAATTGATCAAAGCATTTGGGAAAAAGCGACCAAAACATTCCATAAACTAAACGCAGATGGCGTGCTGTCCAGCGAAGCCGACGATTGGCTGTGCTGCGCCATATACAGCGAGCTGCAGCAGACCAAAATGAAGGATATGCGTCAGGAAGAAGACACCACCACTAGGAGCGATAACGATTTCGAGCCATGGGAAAAGAAGACGCGTTCCAAAAGCTGGAACATTTCGTTGACCCAATTGCTGCGCAGCTTCAACATTAATATTACCAAGTTTCTCAAGAGAATGGAACACTGGAATTGGATAGCGCAGAGCTCTGAAGTGTTTCAGCAGGAAATCAATGATCTGGAGAGACGTCTCGGTATAACGCTGCTCCTCCAACAGCACTACAAACGCATTTTCAACAAACTCTATGTACTGCCATCGACTGCAGAGAGTCGAGCGCACTATCAAATGCTATATGAATTTGGTTGGCTGCTGTTTCTAGTGGTGCGCAACGAGCTGCCATCGTTCGCAACCTCTAACATTGTCAATGGCTGTCAGGTGCTCGTTTGTACCCTGGAACTGGTCTATGTGAACGCGCTTGAAGTGCACAAATCAGACGTAATTAACACGTCATTTGTGGGCGTACCCCCGAAGTGGAGTAGCAATAATTTCGACACCGATATGCTACTCAAGTACAGTGCCTTGGATGCCATCTGCGGGCTTATACCGGAGCTGCCTGTTAAAGGAGCTCGAATCATGAAAAATGCCTTCTTCCATAAAGCTGTGATGGGCTTGTTTATGGATCAACGTCTGCTGGGCAACGATCGAGCTATGCGCGAATTGGTCAAGGACGGCATATTGGAAGTGAACTTAACATCTTTAAATCGGAGTTACGCCGTACTCGTATCAGACATCAGTGAAATTGACGAACGAATTCTACTAAAACCCACAACATATTCCTGGAATGAGAAGCTTGCGCTGAGAGAAACTGAAAAGCGAACTAAAGAAAATGAAGCCGATCGCAAGATAATTTCTCTGCTAACAAACGCCACGCAGCGCGATAATCTCACGAAGCTGTTAACAGATGGACTGCCTCAATCCCTGCCTGTCTACATAGGTGGCACTCTCGGCAAGGAGGCTACCAATCGCTTGGAAAAGTCGCTGCGTGAGATGTGCGATAGGCTTGAGCGCAATTCGCCCTTGAACCAAGACACAGCTGAATGCCGCTTTAACCTATTCAGAGGGTTGTATTATGTCCTGCTGGACAAGATCGTTGGCGCCGAGCTACGTCGCAGGCCCTCAATAAAAATTGCCCAGATGCTGAAGCAATTACAGCGCACCTTCAATGCAACACTGATTGCCTGCTGCCTGGAGCTGGTGCTGCACATCTTCGGAACGGACGAGACACAGACGAAATTTCCCTGGGTATTGAAATGCTTTAGTATTGATGCTTACGACTTCCAAAAGATAATCGAGCTGGTTGTGCGGCATGAGAGCGGTTTGCTGACGCGTGATCTGATCAAGCACTTGCAGGAGATCGAGACGCAATGTGTGACCAAACTGATCTGGCAGAAGAGCTCGCAGCTGTGGCGCTATGTAGACAGTGCAGGTCTGCCCAGATTTAAGGATGTGCAGTCGAGCTTGGGCCAAGAAAATGTCAGATTTGCTTCAGGCTCAGTTCCAATTTGCCTGCGTAAATTCTACAATGTGGCCAACCAGCGACTGACGTACTTCTGCAAGTGTCTATCCTTGGTGACCAGCTACACACAGATCTGGCACATCTTTGAGCACTCTATCATTGTGCATGGCAAAGAGCTGCTGCAGCAGCGCCACCTCGAACAGCTGCTGATATGCGCCATCTACCTGTGGGGGCGCAAGTCGCAACTGCGCATCACCTTCAGCGACATTATTCAACAGTACCGACGCCAGCCTCATGCCGACAGTGCCATCTATCGGGCAGTATACTGTGCCGATGGACGGCCCACCACGGATATCATCAGCTTCTACAATCGAGTCTATATTCCACTCATGGCCGACTACGCTGTAGCCCTCCAATGCGGACAATCTGATGCTGCAAAGGAAACTGCTGCGACCAGTCGGCCCCTGCAGGAGCTCAACGGCAACAACAACAAGCGCTGCCTCAAGATCAACATCATTGTCTCGCCGGCAGCAATGCCCCGCATCTGCATGGCCAACGACTGCAAAGCCAAGATCATAAGTGAGCGTGAGGCAACCCCGAAGAATCTGAAACGTGCCCACTCCAACGATGAGCTGGGTCATCCAGTATCCAGTAAACGACCGAACATACTCAGACGACGCACGACCTTTCTCTGAAAACCGGATCTGTTCATCGATGAAGACTAGAATGCTATTTCTTGTTATGGTTCATTAAGTTAGATTTAGTTTTTTTTTTTTTTTGTGAATGAATTTGAATCTTATTAGGTATTACTGAAGACCTATTTAGAATACTTTTTATTATAGTTGCATTTGCAATATTAGATCATGAATTATGATGGACACTTGGATTACGTCTATCAAGGAGCACCTCCCATCTATCTTTCTCTTCAAATTAGTGTGTACACATTACGGTTGTGTAATCTGCGTTGTAAATTGCTTTTTACATTTAATATATTTGATATTGCACATACATATTATATAAATCGTATCCCCCCCAAGATACTTTGATTATTAGTTTTGGGAATACATTTTTTAAAAAATTGAACAACTTCTTACATATGAATAGACTTTATTTTAATGCGGTTTTGAATTTGAATCTCGGTTCAAAATTGTGTATATTGAAAAGGTGCCTAGTCAAACGATTAGGCGCCACCACGGCTCTACAAAAAATAGTTAAAATAATCTAAAAAAGGACTTGCAAGCGGGAGTAGTTGACAATTGGGTTGTGGGCGGAGGTGGAGGTGGAGGAGGGGAGAAGAGCATACAATATATACTGAGAGTGTGCAACTTATAGCTAAAGTTTTTCTCATGCCTACAAATAGCTTTAAGATGAAGGAGGAGGAGGATTAGCAGCAGCGACGCTTGCCGCAGGAATGCTCGGAGCAGGCGCTGAGCTGGGCGCAACTGCTGCCACGCTGGCGGCTTCGGCAACAGGTGGTGCATTAGCTGGCGGCGTGGTGTCTAAAGGGAAGACAGAGATAAGGTTATCATTTTAATTTAAACTTGATGAGATTTTACTCTCACTTACCCATTGGCGTGGGCGCTTGAGGCTGGGCCACTGGTGCAGGAAGCTCGCCTGCTTGTGTTGGCGGCGCTGCGGCCGCCGGAGCGACAGCTGGTGGTGCTGTGAACGGTGCACCATTTGGTGGTGCGGCTGCAGCCACATGTGTCGGCAACGGTTGATGCTGCACCGCAGGTGCTCCCAGCTGCTGTGGCGGCGGTGGCTGAAGAGGATGCTGTTGCTGCGGCTGCTGTTGTTGGGCATGCTGTTGATGCGGAGGCGGCGGTAGCGTCTGTTGTTGTTGTTGCTGCTGCTGCTGTGGTGGCATCACCATGGCACCTACAGCGGCACCCACCTGGCCCTGTTGTTGTAGCTCTTGCTGCAGACGGTGATGCGCCTGTTGACGCGCTCGAAACTCGGCGGCCTTCAACTGCTCAAGGTGAAATTGCTGACGTTCCGTAATGAGCTGCTGTCGCTGATATTCAAGGCCCTCACGCTCCCGCTCCATGGTGGCCTCCAGCTCCTCGAAATGCCGCAGCTTGATTTCCAGCTTCTTCATCTGTGTCTCCACCAACAACGCCACCAGTGACTTGATCTTGCGCTCTTCCAGAGCTGCCAAATGTTTCGCTTTGACAGCTGCCGATGCCAAGGCGGCCGCAGCTGCCGTTTGCATATTGTTCTCGCTGAAGGCTCCATCCTTGGCAGAAGGACCACCACTACTGGCATCGTTGCTGCCATCCTTCGTCTCGCCGTCTCCACTGTTTTCTTCGGTCTTGATCTCAATATCGTTGCTCGCTCCAGTCTCTGTGGGTGAGGAGTTGGAAGCCGTCTTGCCCGTCTTGTCGGTTTTATTGACTTTGTCGGCTGCGGCCGTTGACGGCGACGAATCTTTCGACTTTTTGTCTGTGCTATTTGAGGTGGTCGTGGCTGCTGCTGCGACTCCTGCTGTTGTTGTAGTTGGTGTTGTTGTTGACGATGTTGCTGATGTGGAGCTCGAGTCTGTAGCGGTGCTGAGCTTATCCGATTTCGTTTTGTCTTTGGACTTTGCATCGTCTGTTGATTGTTTAAACAAAGTGGGAAAATGTAAATAAATGCAATATAAATTTTAGCTTAAACCACTTATACCAATTTTAACAATATAAGAAATA